TTTTTTTTTAATGTAGCTTCTGAGGGAGGAGCGAATGGTAATGCCCATGGAGTGTGTTCTGGGACTGCGGACCTCACACCCAAAATGGTGGTGCCCAGCAGCAGTGTTGGCTTTTAGATGTCTACACAAAGGAGGCTATTACGGGTAAATAACCTGCATAAAATATGTTAGATGCACATATAATCTTATGGGAAGATTTTTATGGAAATGAATGGTCTGGCGACAGGGTCCCTTTGAAATATATGTGCTCATTCTGCCCCTTCACCATTATTTTTGTAGCAATTAATGCTTACCTGAAACCTAGCATGGGAGAGACTTTCTTGTGTTGCCTACCTGGTGCTGCAAACCTCATTTTGTAAATCTTCTTAGTCCTGAATAGCTTGCCCCATGCATAAAGGTCACAATCTTTATTAACGTGAGTAGAAAGCCCAATGTCTTGAAAGTCTTCCTTTTAAAATAATGGAGTTTGTACTATTGATGTGCAGGGCTGGAAGGATTGTCAGGACATACACTGTGGCACCAAGCAGGCCATATAGCAAAAACCTTCCTAGTGCTAGGTTTTAAATTGTTATATCGTATTGCAAAAATGTTGAGGGAGGGGAGAGGGTACTGAAATATATATACACTCATCCTTTGGACTAGGCCTGACAGGAATTCTAACCCAGAAAACCCTGGCATTGAAGAGTAGGCGTTGCCAATTACTTGGCAGTTTGGTCAACTACTGCGGGGGCACCTAGGAACTGCTGACTCCAGAGGGCGTATAAAGTATGCAAATTCTGACCTTTAGAAAAGTCAGTACTGCATCCAGCAATCCAACGTGGCATCATTTGCCTTAGAGGAACCTCATATTGCACTGGGAAATGCAGTAGGGGGTTCCATTTCTGAACGTTGTAATTACATTTTGTGGGTGTTTTATGTACACGGAAGTTCCCATTGTGACCTGTTATAATGTGTGACAGGTGGAAGGCATCTATCAGCAGCTGGGGTTCCCTAGACTTCAGAGGCTAGTTAGTCAGATGAGGTTTACTTTAAAAGGCACCTGTAGTTTTGATGCCAACAATATAGCACAAACAAATTAGGCTAAGATGTAGGTTTTTGTGTCGGCAAGGTAAAAGTTGTCAAGCGACACCTCATACTCATAAAAAAACCAGCCCATTAATCATTTAAGTAACAAATCTGTCCCAAATCTGAGGAACTTAAACTGAGCATATGATATAAAAAATATATAATCATCTCTTTTCCCTATTCACATTCTCTTTTTTGTTATTCAAGTTCGCGGATTCACCCTCCGGGGTCAACTATATTGGGGCACTCTCCAATTACCATTTACCTTTTCCTATATGTTCCTCTTATGCTGATAATAATCCCTAATAGCCCAACTGGGCTTATATGGTTACACATCTTGATTCTGACTCTGTATACTTTGATCTTGTAACTGTATTGGATTCTGTTTTTGGATTTCTACTTTGCGTTATTATGTTGTACTTATGGTTTATTGTTGAAAATTCATGAAAATCAATCAAAATTGAACACAAAAATATATATGTTCAATGTTTCCTTCAATAAAAGCAGCGTGTCGGATTGATCAGTAGATATCAGTAGATCCAGAGATATAGATGGCTGAATGATATGTACATTTTGACTTTTCCTATACAAGTTGAGCTTCCTTTGCCTCCATTCCATGCCTGTGTTGGTCCTTTAATGTGATGCCTATTGTTGCTAACCAAAGACCGAAGTAATCAGCGGGGGCTTGGCAAATCGTGATTCTTACGGGAAAAGGAAATATTTGCATATATATGCGACACATGAAACAAACATTTTGCCGTGCTGTTTTCACTGCTTATGTAATATTTCCTCATATGCTTAATTTAAACTGCCCGGGTTTGAAACAGGTTTACTTTAAGCCGTCCGCTATAAGGAGATTATACTATAAAAGACTTTGGTGTCCCAAACAATGATGTCCTGGGATGGAAAATGACCTTTGAGCTTGTCACACCAACCTCTTCGATAGGCTAATCTGTTAGTGATGCCATGTTTGCACTGAAATAGTATCGAGACACAGATGACTAGGGTACATGGTAAATATGATACCTCCAAAATACTCTGAAGCCATCATTGAAATAACCAGTCGCTGCTTTCCTTACACTTCCTCACAGCGTATGCTACTTAAATGTACAGTATGTTCCCAGTGGGTAGATTTACTCCATCTATTAATCCTGACCATTGTTCCCAAAACGGAAAAACATTTTGGATTTGTCTTCAAAACACAATGTGAGGTTAAAACTTCCAAATGGGCCACATGTTCCAGTGACCTTTCAAAGTATTCACCTCACTCTGTAGAGATTTTCTCTCACTTCCTGCTGTACCTCAAAGACAGGAAATGATCCCCAACATGACACAGCAAAAAAAAAGCCTACAGATAATATAAATAATTTTGTCTGTACCTATGCTTTAAGAACAAGTGCACATCAAATAGGCTATAATTAAGCAATAATCAAGCTCTTAGGCTGGGTTCACACCTGGGCATATGGAATATGCACGTTTGCTGCGCGTTTCGTGGCAGCACTGAGTATGTAGCAAATTCATATAGTATTTTTCTGCATTGCTGTATAATGTATTGCTGGGATTTGTAATCCTCTATAGCCTATGCCATTCTGCATTGCTGTATAATGTATTGCTGGGATTTGTAATCCTCTATAGCCTATGCCATTCTGCATTGCTGTATAATGTATTGCTGGGATTTGTAGTCCTCTATAGCTGATGGTATTTTGCATTGCTGTATAATGTTTCGGTGAGATTTGAAGTCCCTGAACAGCTTGGAGTCAGTGGTAGAACTATCAGGGTTGCAGCGGTTGCAGCTGCATCTGGTCCCTGGAACTCCACCATTGTCCTAAAATTATTAGTCTGTATAGTTTTAGAAAAACTGTCACATGACACTAAATAAAGGTATCGGTAATTGGTATCCACGAGTGATTGAATAAAAGTATCGGTACTCAAACTCGGCTGGAAAAATGGTATTGATGCATCCCTAGTTTCTATTTGCATAGGTTTACTTACGCAGTCAAAAACATATCAGTATTTGAGTTGGCCCTTGTGTGTATTGATGTAATTCATGGTGCCATTAGATTGTAAGTTCCTTAGCATCAGGAACTGCAATATGTGTTGTATACGTGCGGGAAAAAACTGCAATATATATATATATATATATATTTATATTTATTTTTAATGACTGTGTTGCCAATAACAATTATTCAGAACCTTACATTTCCAACCAGTGCTTGAAGAAAATGAGATTTGGCAGCTCATGAAGCATTCTTCTGTGTATTTAAAAAAAAAAAAAGGGAAATATTTGCTCGGTGGGATTCCTAAGTAACATCTGTCAATTTACCTGGGTTCTACAGGAAGGGATTGCAATGCTGTCTTTTGGATACTCTGTGCCTTTAAAATTCCGGCCTCATCCCATTTCACCTGTTTATCCACCATCAATAAGTCTCTCGGAAAGGTCGGTTAACTAGCATGTGGTCATGTGAGGATGTGATGATGGGAGGAGGCTGGTGTGCGAAGGAAAAAGCGGTTGCAGAAGCCTCTTGATCTGGAGCCTGTCATGAAAAAGCTTTGCTCTAGCACTAGCCATGATGTTGCAAGCATCAGCGCCCAGCATTGATTATTAAAAAACAAGCTGGATTGTTTTTTTTCCCCCTGTGCAGGCAGCTTGCAGTTTTTGTGCCTTGCACTGCTAGCTTAGTATGCTTCTCCTTTACACGTTTCTTTTCTTCCTAGAATCCATCTACCGTCGAGGGGCCAGAAGATGGAGGAAGCTCTACCGAGTGAATGGGCATCTGTTTCAAGCCAAACGCTTTAACAGAGTGAGTGATTCATGAAAGAGTCAGCTTGTCCGGTCTCTGAGCGGCTTTGTATTAACCTGCTATTGCTTCTTTTCTCTACTGAAAGAATGACTATTGTACATACACTGTTCTGCTGTCTGTTCCTGTATGCTCCAGTTTTAGCATGTGTGCTACAATTCCATTTCAAGGCTAAAGGGTTTCTGTATGGTTTTTCTCATTACTACATGCTCCACAGACATTTACAGCTTATATCATTAGGAAAAGTACAGTAACCCATAGCAGCCCATCGGAATCAGTCTGTCACTGATCTTACCTAATAAATCGGACACAACCTCGTTGCTCTTTGTCCTATATAAAAGGTTGTTCTGATGAACCCAGCCTGTGTAACATTTGTAACTGTATATAGTCGGCTGGCCCTTCTAGTGTGCAGCAACACATTGGCTTTTGTCTATAAAACTGGCACTGTGGTCTTGAGCTTCCAGGAGTTCCTGTGCCAGGAAATGTAGCATGCAAATCCTCAGCTAGAATATGTACACAAGTACATTTTTCTCACCAACGTGCCAAATTTAGCACTGTCACTTTTACGGAATATTTTGTCTTGGTGCAAGCAAATTGTACCTGCGATAATTTATCACACCAGAAAATCCAAACCATTCTTACGCAAGTTACTAACCCTGAACCTTGGGTAAAATTATGCTGTCATAGTGATAAATAGTATATTAATCAAATTGATGAATGCCACCGTGGTGACTAGTGGTACAAGTGCTGATGATGCTATTATACTGGAAATTGCATGTGCCAAAAAAAAAAAAAATCTATGCTGTAAGTAAATGAAAGATGACAACTGTGGTGCTGACATGCAAAGTGCCAGAGTATCAGCACTGAAATGTATGCTTACATTGACTGAGATTATAGTAGGATGTTAGGATGTCTTTGTTGTCATGCTTTGTATAACGTAAACCTCTCCTGAGTGAAATACATGGGCCTGCCATTGCTGACCTCCTTCTGTACATGCTTGTTGTCTGAATGGGTATGTTGACCCTGTGGCTTCAACACTTCTGAGTCACTGACCATGAACAACTATGCAGTAAGTACAGAGAAAAGTTGCAAGTTCTCATCTGCATACTTGTTCTGGGCTAGTGACTCAAACTTTTGAAGCTTAAAGGGTCAGCTTGACGGTCAGAAAGCTCCTTTCCAGAATAAGAAGCCACAAATGGTAGTTTAATAGAAGATGGAGATTATTATTATTATTATACAGGATTTATATAGCGCCAACAGTTTGTGCAGCGCATTACAATATAAGGAAGACATTACAATCACAAAACAATTCAAGACAAGACGGCAAGAGGGGCCCTGCCCGTGAGGGCTTACAATCTAAGCCAGCACTAAGAACATTCTAGCGAACATATTGTTATCCGTGCAGTCACAACAAGCACCACGACTGTTAATCAAGGTGCAATCGCTGTAAGAGGCGCAGGTGACACATCACAATACAGCAATAGTAGTCTATCAAGTTTCTCTCAGGAAAGGTATCCTATAAAGAAGAACTCCAGGGAATTTTTTTATCAACCCTTGCAGTAGTGCTACCCCCGCACTCCAAGGTTTAAAGGGGTTCTAAACCCTCCGGTTTTTTTTGCTTATATCTACTGCTAGCAAGCAGTAGATATAGGCAAGAAGTGTAAAAAAACAAAAAACACTTGAAATCATTTTAAACTTACCTCGTTATCGCCGCTCGTTCCCGCGCCGAGAATCAGGAACTGCTCGTACGGCCGCAAAGGGTTCCGATTCTCGGCCGGGAGACGAGCAGAGACGCAAGGTAAGTCTATGGACGCGTGCACGCGCATGCAGACACCGCTGGATCGGAGGGACAGAGCAGTTAGCGCTGGATCCGAGTGACGTCGCACCGCTGGAGGGACACATGAAAACATGGGGAAAGAAGAGGAAGACCAGAATAAGAGACATCATTTAACCTCTTGCCGTCCGCCAAGGGGGGAGGGAAAAAATGTTTGCCTTTAATATCACTTTAAGTGCTCGTTTATGTCTAGGTAAAAAAAAACAACAAAGTTTATACTCACCCAAAATCACTAAGTTGGCCAGCTGTCACAGTGCTCCCTCCAGCCTGTCTCCCCCTATGCTACAGCATTGAAATCTTCCTCACCGTCCTCACGTCTATACACTGTGTATAGATGTAATAATTTAGACTGCTGCAGTGAAGGGGGAGAGAGGCTGGAAGGAACGGTTTAACAAGCCAGCTCCACGGTTCAGGTGAGTATAACTTTTTTTTCAAACCTAGACAAAAACGAGTAGTTTACCCATGGAGTGTGGATGTATCTCAACTGCAAGGGTTAAATTGTGTTTTCCTAGAGTTCTTCTTTAAAGAGACTCTGTAACTTTAAGAAACAGACGGTTGTTAACAGGTATGAAATGCAGATACCCAGAGGTGCACATACCTGCACCATTTTTTAGTACCCTCTGCATTACCTGAATAGCAAGCCGTGCTGGCAGCTAAGCTTTGACACTGTCATACAATGTTTTTCAACATGCCTGCCCTGCCCCCCCCCCATGCACACACACACACACACACAAATTGCTCTTGGATACTTGTTCTAACGGTATAAAACTTCTGAATGGTTACATCTGGTTGCTATGGGTAATTGAATTGCCTGGTAGTTTTCTATAATCCCCATAGTCCTCCTATTATTTTTATTCTTAAAGTGTATGTCAAGGTACAATAACAACCAAAAAAAACCTATGCAGTACATCTCTGCAATGCATGCACATTTCCCTGTGTGTTATGCCTTTAAAGATCCTGCAAGTACAGAAAAACATGTTGATCTCCCAGATATGTGCACAGCTTCTAAGTCTTGTTGTGGGTTGACAACACGCAGTATTTTTGTCAACCGCCCTACCTGTTGTCTTGCTAAACTACTCAGTCACTCCCACTCTCCGATCTTAATAATCTTCACATTGAGGCTAATCATTCTGTAGTCCAAGATCAGGACTAGGAGGGCTGTTTGAGATAACACTGCAAGTGTGCAAAGGACACAGGACAGCTCTAAATTTCTGATAAGATCAACATGTTTTTTTTTGCAAACCAGTACAACAGAATTAGGGATGTTCAGATACCAATGGCGATACTTGGCATTTTCATGAGAAGTACCAGGATTGCAGCGGCTGCGACTGGGCCCTGGCGTTCCACCAGTGTCCTGAAATCATTAGTCTGTATTGTTTTAAAAAACTGTAACATGAAACCAAACAAAAATGTATCTGTGAGTACTTGGACGGTCCAAGTACTAAGTATCGGTCCAAGTACTTCCGATATTGGAGCTTCCGGTCAGAGGGATATCTCCCTCTGAACAGCAGTGCAAGAGGGAGCATGGAGCTTGCTTCCTTTCCAACCAGGAAGCTGGGCGGTGGGTTATGTTCAGGAAGCCAGACAGCCTCTGTTAAGTGAAGCCAGTGTTCTTTCGCTAGAACATCGGCTTTACAGGCAATCAAGAAGCTGGGCGACGGGTCATGATCCGCCGCCCGACTTCCTGATAATCGGGGCACAAGGAGCCGGTACTCGGTATCGGCGAGTACTGGAAAAAAAATTAACGGTACTAGATGGCGAAAAAACGGTATGTGTGCATCCCTAGTTTACATACACTAGGTTCTTCCAAGTACTCATATATTTATTTTCTTATGCCAGATGATTCTGCAAATACCTGAATATGTTTATTATATATTCTCTGCAAAAACATAAACCTCCCATTGCAGTGAGGCTGCCCCAGCACTGTAATGGTTAAATGCATGTTTGAGACTAAGGTGTGGGGAAAGGCAGTTTTACTTACCTGATCCCTACTCCCCTGGCAGTCGGCGCTCTCTTCATCTTTCCTATGCTGCAGCTAATGGACGGTCCTTCAGCGTCTGTACGTATAATGCAGGGCTATGGTCTGTGTATTGTACTTGATGCATTGCCCCTCCTCCACCCATGGGAGCAGTGGAGGGAAGCGGTTGAGGGTACTGGTCTTGTAGCCTAAAGGGAGCCTGCAGGATCGGGTAAGTAAAAAACTTTTTTTCAGGTACCCTAGACCTAAACAAGCATTTAACCTTAACAGTGCTGGGCAGCCCTAGTGCAGGGGGAGTTTTTTGTTTTCCCCTGAGATAGCCTTTAAACCATAACTGAACTACAAATACATTCCAGGTGTGTCTAAATAAAAAGTGAGCAAAGCCTTACAGTTTATTTTTTTTAGAAAGTCACATGGGTTGAAAAGCCTTTACCGTTCCAGCATGCTGCAGAAAAGGATCCTTGCTTTCTGCATGGAAGAAGAGATTACTCCACTGTGATCTGACACTCCCCCCTCCTTTAAAGATCATGCTTCCTGCTGATTGGATAGTTCTATCTCTGACTCATCCGGGGGCTTTAGACCTCTGTAGAGAGACCACTGCTTATCGGATTTTAACTGAAAGTTCAGTTAGACTTTGAAGTGTATGTTTAGGCTACACAAAGTGAAGCCAGAGAAATGTTGAACTCATAGTAAGTATAAAGTTTAAAACTTGGATGTTATCCATCAGCTGTACCAATAGTCAAATGTTAGCAGCAAGGTATGGTAACAGTATTGCTAAATTGGATATGTAAAGCAAATATTTCCCTTTACTGTCAGGTTCTCTCCTGCTAGCCACATTTCTGAAGGTGTAAGCACTTGGTCATGTGATCTTTACCTGAGGATTAGAGTTTGGAATGGTTGATCTTTACCTTTAGAGGATATCACATTACCAAGCGACTATCCTTCAAATGTGTTAACATTTGGGTATAGGTTCAATATAAATAACTGGTGTTTTATAAACTTATGAAAATAATGATTTTTTTGTCTTCTGCCTCCAGAAAGCCTACTGTGGCCAGTGCAGTGAAAGGATATGGGGCCTTGGCAGGCAAGGCTACAAGTGTATCAACTGCAAACTACTTGTCCATAAACGCTGTCACATACTTGTCCCACTGACCTGCAAGAAGCATATGGTGAGTTTCTTTATATCATTTGTACTGAAAGGAGAACCATAGACCTGGTGAAAGCATTTGTAGTTACGACACCACTGAAAAAATGCTATGCTTAATTTCAGCAAACACCTCAGCAAAGTCTTCTCGTCATCCAGGGCCATCTGCAGCCAGGGCTCAGCACGGCACTGAGAAGTGGGGCAGCACAGCCTGCAGCTTCTTCTCTGGATCCCCGCTGTTCTCCCCCCTCTGTATGGGCAGTGGAGATCTGAGGAGAAGTGAAGCGCTGCAGCCTGCGGGGGGGGGCGGAGGAGGGAGCCGCTGCCACAGCAGCATGGCCGAGTGGTGAGGAGAGAGAGCCACTCGGCCAGGATCTGCCAGCCGGTGGCTCTCTCCTCACCGCTCGGCCATGCTGCTGTGACAGCGGCTCCCTCCTCCACCCGCCTGCTTCAGCACTTCACTTCTCCTCAGATCCCCACCTCCTCTGCCCATACAGGCGGGGGTAAAGCCATGGGGATCTAGAGGAAAAGCTGCAGGCTGTGCCGCCCCTCTGTGCGTGGCCGAGCGGCTGAGGATAGGTACATATCTGTGATATGTACCGACCCTCTGTGTGCAGAGCAAACACTGGAGCAATCAGCTGATCACTCCAGTGTTTGTAAATAACTGGAGACATTTAGTACTATGTGTCCCCAATTATGAATGAACAGGAAATGCTTAAGATCACTTCCTATTCATTCATGAGCTTCTGAATGGGTAGTAGCACTCAGTACAGAGGCTTCTCCCCATTCAGAAACTGGTGATAGTAAATATTTTCGAAATTAATGGGAAGCCTCTGTACTTTCCATTCATTTAGAACAAAGGCTGCAGAAAAAGAGACTGAGAACTCTGTGTCCTCAATTTATTTTTCTATTTTAAAAGGGAAATATCAGGGGGCTGTTTAGATCCCTAATATTTCAACCCCTCAAATCCCCCCCCCCTCTTTTTGCGCCTCGGGCAAAAAGACTGAAAGTGTACCTGGCAACCAGGCATTTTGTCAGCAGCACCAGTGTGTCATGTCACCCTTGGATTAACTACAGTGGCATTTCTAAGCCATATAGCAAACTGAGTTTTATTGTACTTTGGTCTTCGTGTACTAGAGTGCATGTATAAAAGTTTCTAAACTCTTGGCTGTGCCTTTTTCTTAGGCATCAAAACATCTTGCTAAGCCATAATTCGCTGTTATGTGAAATTCAGTATGCTTCAATATAGGGATGCACCTATACTAATATCAGTATCAGTGCCGATGCAGATTATTTGGCCGAGTGCTCGTACTTGCTCAAATGCTCCGATACCTAGCCCGATACTTGAGCCTCCGGTATTAGGAAGCCGGACAGCGAGTCATTACACGCTGCCCGGCTCTCTGAGTGGCCAGGAAACCGACTCCATGCTCCCTCGTCACTTGTGACGAGGGAGCATGGAACTGGCTTTCCAGCCAATCAGGAAGCTGGGCAGCGTGTAATGGCGCGGTGCCCGGCTTTCTGATTGGCCAGGAAGCTGGCTCCATGCTTCTTGTCACCTAGTGACGAGAAGTATGGAGCCGGCTTCCCTGCTAATCGGAAATCCGGGTGGTGGATTTTTACACGCCACCCGGCTAATCAGAAAGCCAGGTGGAGAGTCATTACACGCCGCCTGACTTCCTTAATGGGACTTCCAGTATTGGTATATGGTATCAGCGAGTACCTAAAAAAACTGTATAGGTGCATCCATACTTTAATAGCCTATATAATCCTCTTTTAAAGTAGAATTAAACTCTCAATCTTTTTTTTTTTTCAATAAGGAATCCAGATCCAACAGATATAGGTACATTGCCCAACAAAGTATTTCCTTAAATTTTTTCCCAAGCTCTTACAGACAGAATGTTTCTAAACCGCTCCAACTCTCTCAGTTCGAGTTCCCTGAACTTCCTGTCCAGTACAAGATTACAAGGGACAGAGCAGTCTCCAGCAGCTGTCCATCTACTAAGCTGGAGGAGGGAGAGCAGAGAAGTGTCTTGCCTTTCTGTGCCTTTCGTGTTTGTGGGGAGACACACACAGCTTACTAGCAAACACAAGGGTGGCTCTATAGGATCCTGCAAGGGAAAAGAGCCACCCTAAAGCAGGATATCAGGACCAGTTCTCGGGACCAGCTTTTTTTTTTGCAGGACGCTAAAACTTTTAAACATCAATTGTAAGTGTTTTAACCAGCATTGAAAATCGTTTTAAAACATTTTAATTTTAATATTACTTTAGTTCTTGAACATGCAGTGTAGGCTCAAAGTGTATGTCTGGGCATGATTAGAAAAAATATTAAGTATATCTTTGAAGTAAATGCACATTTCCCTGTGTTTTGTCTGTTTAAAAATGCTGTAGGTATTGGAAAAAAAAAACAATGAACCTGCCAGGAATTACAATTTCTGTTGCTGGACTGCAAAACCCCTCCCTCTCCCCTCATTTGCCTAAATTTGGCCCATACACTGCTTAGATTTTGGCCCAGTCCTGCTGATGGCTCAAATTCAGCCAGTGTGTGACCCCGTTGACCTCCCTCTCTCCGTTTGACAAAAGTTGATTTTTCAGTCTACTTTTATAGAAGGAGCTGTTCACTGTTCTGGTATTCTGACAACGACACACCCACTGCTGTCAGAATGCAACTGCCTGGCTGGGTGGGGGTATCCTCACTGTCAACCTGTAAATATTACTTAACTGCAACAGTGATAAATAAGGTCTCAGGCCAGACAGAGTTATTTGTGTGGCTGAACTGTGGACATCTCTGAACTGAATGGACAAAAACCAAATACTTTGTAAAGTAGAACCCATGGGTGCAGAATTCGTATCACCTGAATAGGAGACGGGCGGGTAGTTTTTTTTTTTTTCATTTAGCACTGTTTCGGGCAAGCAGAGCTAAATGTACAGAGGGGAGCCGCTGCACGCTTTATACAAGTGATCTGATTGTCTGTCCCCTCCCTTCCCACCGTGGTTTTCAGGATCCCCCGCTCCACGGCAAAGGAGCTCAGGATGGGGAGCGGGGAGCAGAGCGAAGAACGTCTGTTTGTCCGCTCTGCTCTGTGTGATCACTGAAACCGGAGCGCTGTAATCACAGCACCACCTGTCTCAACTGTCAGAAACTGCACAGATGATCTGTCCTATGTTGGAGGGCAGGTTCCATAAAGAGAACCTGCCACCTCCAAACTATCACATAGGGGCCCCTGTGTGATGGGAATAAAATGAAGTGAATGTAAAAATTATAAAATATATAACAATTTAAAAACTAAAAGAGGTAAAAAAGTAAAACAATAAAATTAAAACCAACCCTGCCACCCCCACCATCTGCATGCAAATAAACGCACGCGTAGGACATTGTGTGCATGCATGCGCCGATTCCACTGTGCCATATTGTGGTAGCCAGGCAGCAGAACACGCACAATGTGCATTAAAGGGTAAGTTCACTTTCCCAGGTAATTTGGGAAAATGAATTACCCGCTCAAATCTGGCCCCCACCCCACAATACTTGCCTTTCGGCGAACAGTCCTTTCCCTCCGCCAGTAAGTGTGTACAATCTGTACCCCGTACTGCTGTCCAGCGCGCTGCCCTGCGCAATGCATTTTGAATTTCGCACGCAAATTGCAAGCACCCGTTGGTCAGACCGATCAATGAAAAGCGCTTCTTAGCACGGTTAAATATGGTTTTGATTAAAACAATGTTTTTGTATTAGGACAAGTAGATTGTAATGAGGGACAAGTAGTTTTAGCCCTTGGGAAGTAGTTGTTTTTTTTTAATGTCCACACCCCTGAGAACCGCTCCCCTGTTTCTTTGCCTGGAGTTTAGCTTTAACTAAAAATAAATTTCCTCAGGTCTATGTCATAAATTATTTATTGCTTCATGAAACTCTGTAAAGATATGGTTAATGTATTTCATCAGGCAGAAGAACCTTTAGAACTTGTTTGATTTACCACCTTGGTTACACACGGCCCTGGCTGACAATCTGTGTAATAAACCATAATATAAGTATCTGCACTTGGAATTATATCAATAAAATGATCATCCTCTGTAGAACATTCAACTGATATATTCACGTGCTCTTCCCAAAAGGAAGAAAGATTTTTTTTTTTACATACCGTAGATCTTTGCACTTCCAGCTATATTTGTGACTTTTCCTGTCCAGTATCAGCTGTTACCATGACAACCCAAGTGGCAGAAGAGACTTGGAGTACAATTAGAATTCCTTGTTTTCTGTTCTTGGATGAATTTGTCACAGCTAGTAAGGCAAATCTCCAAATTCTGACTTGAGTGTGTTGTGCAGCTTGAACAACATGCAAATCTCATACTACTTGTGCTTGGTTGCTTATTGAACACAACATAGTTTAGGCCATGAGCTTTTCATGTGCATTCTAAATGTCTAAGAAAAGAAAAGTTAATAGCAGTGAGCCATGTGGTTGAGCTTGGTCAACAGCACATCTGTGTTGCAGTGTTAGGTCAAATACTTGCATGCAGTGCCTGAGGGCTTCTTCACATGGACGTGCAGAGACCAACTCCCGGGAGGGAGAGGTGCTGTGTGTAATTGCATGCAGCAGCCTGTGCCTCCCTACCTGCCTCGGCTACATGCCGACCCAGACCTGCACACTGTCTGCATCCAAGTGCAGGCACCTGGACTTGCATGGATGCTCAGGGGCAGGGCTCTCCTTACCATCTTGTCTTGAATTACAATATAATGTCTTCCTTATATTGTAAAGCTCTGCGCAAACTGTTGGCGCTATATAAATACTATGTAATAATAATAATGTGCAGGTTAGGGACGGCATGCAGCCCCATGCAGCTTCTTCTTCCGATAGGGAGGTACAGATGGCTGCACAAAACTACATGCAGCACCTCTCCCTTCCGGGAGCAAGTCTCTGCACAAGTGTGCACGCCCATGTCAATGAGTCCTAAGTTACTCCTCACAAGGGAAATTAATTTTTCTACAAACACTAATAATAACAAAGCCCACATGTAGACAAACCCTAACAGTTTAGGAGCAAGTCAGCTCCATCTGCTAAACGTGGAATATGCATATTTATTAAAGGTTTATACACCAGTAATTTTCTATAACGTTATGCCAAGTTTGTTGCTATTTATGTGTGAGTTCCACCAATGAATATTGGGGATGAGCTCAGGTTCAGACCAAACCCGGTCCAAACCCGAGCTCCTCTGGAACTAGAAGGAAGCTCCTTCCGCCCAATCAGCTGCAGCTGGAGAATTCCCCACCCGCAGCTGCATGTAAGCAAAGGAGTGGAGGGTTCTGTGACATCATTGACCTTATATGGCCACATGGCTATATTCGGTCAATGATATGTGGCAATATAAGGTCAGCGATGTAAACACATACATCCCTCCCTTTTGTTTATTTTCAGGTGCGGGGCGGGGAAAACAATTTTTTAAACAAAATTCTACTGGTCAGCTTAATAGCTTTGGACCTCCCAGCCCTTTCCAAGGCCACCTTCTATGCAAACCCTTACATAATACAACAATATAGGAAATATACAGCAAAAATGTTTTCACCTCAAAGAAATCTTCTGTTTTACTACTTCATTCTCTGATGGATTGTAAACTATTTTACAATCCATAAATATAACTTCACTCTCTGTTAGAAATTACACAAAAGGTGAAAATCTATACACTCTAATAGACTTTATGCTCTTCCATCTCCTGTATACCTCCCTTCCCTGTAAGCTCCTCTACCTACTGCTATCTCACTCTAACAAGCAGATTGGTGGCAGCAGTAGACAGCGGTGTGACAGCCATGATGTGCTGATTGCTGGTTCACCGTACTGCTCTTCTCTACTTTCACTGCTCTAGCCTGTCAGAGTAAGGTAATGACTAGAAGTGGTGACTAAAGAAGAGCAGAATGTTGCAGCTGAACTGCTGGTCAATAAATGTGAGGTCTTGATGGTTGGGAGCTACCAATGAGCTGCAGCTCGGGGGGGCTTGCTGCTTTTTTACATTTAGTCAGGAAGGTATTCTGAGATTTATGTGAGCAAGATGTGTAGCTGTAGACACCAGATTACTTTTACATTCTGGTCCCAAAACATTCACCTAGCCTTGTATACCCACCTAGCTTGTCTTGTGGGTGATTTAGCCCTGGTCAGATGAATGTGCAACTGCAAGCTCTAGTAAAGTGAGTGCTCAGCAAATGCTTTTCAGGAAAGGACGCGTCAGTGCCTAAACTAGACTTGGCAATTCAAACTGAGCATATGATGCAGCAGAGGTCACCTTCAGTCAAAAAACACAAGTTGTCTATATTGTATATAAAATTTGATGAGGAATAATGGCTGTTGCACACAGGCACCAGCCCCTGTACACCATAAATACAGGTGTACTCCCACCGGCAGACAACTGAAGTTCACCTACAATTATAGAATACTTAAGAGTGTAAAATAGTTTACCTATTACTATACTTTGTAAAAATATGAAGTACAGTGATATTTTTCATAAGCTTTGGTTTACACAACAAGATGGAAAGAAAAAAATACTACTATTCATAGAGCAAGCCTTCGTTGTATGACATCTTGTACCTTGTAATGTTTGTACAAGTCAACTGGAAACCTTACTAATAGATTGAGAATAAAAAGATTCAGATTCAGTAGATCCAGCAATGTAGACAGCCGAATTTGCATGTAAACATAGGCTTTTTCCGGTAAAATAGTGACCTTGACATGAGCTTCTCTTTTGGTTGGTTGGGTCGTTGTCCTCTGCAGTGGTACAGTAAGGAGGTTGAGAGGAGTGGGAGCAACAACAAGGTTTAGAGGGAAAGTCGAGATTTGCATATCATTTCAGATGCCTCTCTCTCTTTCTGCATCTGCTCATTTCGGCATGTGGTTTCCACCAAAGGGGTGCCAGGTTTATGTTAAGTCAAAATCCCTCTCCAAATACATTCAAGTGGATCTGTGCCCAGATCATGCACACTGAAGTATTTTCATATTCAAAAAAAAAAAAAGCAGTGAAAGCACTTTACAAAAAGTCCCCCATTCATATCTGTTTACAAGCATTGTGAAGAAATTAATTTTCAAAGTTCACAACACAGGCACTGCGCTTTTCTATGGGTTCAGAATCTTTGCAGGCTGCATGCCAGCCTTCCAATGTAAACAACCAGCAGGTAATTCTAAGCTGTTTAGGTCCCTCCTCTGCTGATTGACAGCGGGCAGTGGGCGGGTGCAATAGCCAGCCTGCTATTGGCTATTTCAAATTGCAATAGCAAACTGGCTATTGCACATACCCACTACCTGCTGTGTTTACATTCCCCGGCCCGAGCTATACAAGCCATGTGTGCTTGAATAACTACATAGTAGTGGAAAGGTGACCCTAGGGGTCTCATAGGCCCCCTAATGTTACCTTTAAATAGAACCTGTCATCTCCAATGTGCTATCACATAGAGGACTTTTGAGCCCCACCATGCGATAGCAATAAAGTTAACAAAAAAAAGTTTAACAAAAAATACAAGTAATCAAAATTTTAAAAAAGTAAAGTCCCCCGCCCCCCACAAATGCGTGCAAACACTCCTCCCACCCACAGTGCCTGCTTTGGAACATGCGGTACCCCAATGCCGTGTGCTCCACTGCGGTGCGATTGCAGAAAATTGTGCATGCAGTTTTATTCTGAAGTAAACTTTCTTTTTGTGGCACACCATTTGTGTATTTTAAAAAAAGGATGATATTTTATTTTTTTTGTTATCCGATTAATGGAAAAATAATCGGCCAACTAATCAATTATGAAAATAATCGTTAGTTCCAGCCCTACTGATGGCTCTGTTCAGACTAAACGATTAGGGTCCAGGGCTGCAAGGTAAACAAAACTGTGCCCAAGTTGTGTTTTGGACCATGACGGCTTCTCATATTTTATGTTGGTTGAGCTGTGGGCACATTTCCTAATAAACACACTGTGTTGATTGCACAAACTACCTCCAGTGCAGTGTAAACAAAGTCTAAATCATTCACTTACTTGGATGTGTCTTGAATGCTCAGCCCATATTCTTCTTTGTATGGCATCATTTCAGATGTCTTTGCTTATCCTGATTGCGCCTGAGGATGCAAATGTTGTCGGAGCCTTTTTATTTTCTTGTTGAGACAAATTGTATTTTCTGTTTAATAGTTCTTCATTTGTACGGTCCTGTAAAAGAAAGCTGGAGCAGTTGCTGCTTTTAGAACACCGGGGTATTTTTGCTGAATTTTTTGTATTTTTGGGGGGCAGATAGCTCGCTCTGGTGCTGAAAGAGCTGTAAGAGTGCATTAATAATCGAGATGTGCCCAGATAAGCCTTCTGAATGCTGGCAGCCTGGAGTCCTGTTAAAGAGCAGACATGCCGGTTAAGATGCAGTCCACGTCTTGCCTCTCTTCTTATATTTAACAGAGCATGAACCTGAAAGATTTCAAAACGTGTTTTGAGCTGTTCATTGTCATGATCAGGATGGCAACATTAATTTAGCATCGAGCTCCACTAGAGAAAGTCAAAAGATTTTTTTAAAATCTCTGTCCCTGTGATTGTGAATATTTTTTTCCAGCCACCAGGAAATGTAACCTGTCCCTTTTTGTCTGTGCAACAGGATCCGGGCATGCCTTTCCAGGAGCCCCGCGTAGATGACAAAAGCGAAGAGGGCGATATCCACCATGATGAAACAGATCAAAGTAAGTTGCACATTGGCCTGTGAAAATGACCTGTAATCCCAAAGAGCAACCATCTCAGAAAACATAATTTAATTACCATGTCTGTAGTGGTAAAGTGTTTTGTTTTTTTTTCTCTCTCTTCTTGCCTAAAGCAATTGGAAAGCTATTAGAGAGGTCTTTAGGTATCAGGCAGAGGGAGAGAGCATCAAGGATTTGTTACACAGCTGAGTGATTTTGTCCTTCTACTTGTTCATTACTGCATGTCCTTGTGTGCAAGCTCTGCATCTGATGGCTCACGAGCTGCACTGACTGCAGGCTAGACTAGATTTTAATATACTGAACTATGGAAAATAGCACTTTATTAAAGGGCACCAATAAAGAAAAAGAAAACTCCTCTTTTAAGTTTAGGAATTGGCAACCATATGAAGAAGCAGGGAGCTGGTGCTGTTAGGAACATGGCATACTGAATTTCTCTAAAGGTGCCCATACACCTTACGATTATCGTACGATAATCGTATGCGATCTACGTTTCGTACGACAATCGTAACGTGTGAATAGAGTGCCCGACCGATAGTTCTGTACAATCGTACGACTTTTGACGGTCAAGCATGTTTGAAAACTTTGGTCGATCGCACGATGTGCGCATGGTTGGTGGCATTTCCGTCCGTCAAAAGTCGTACGATTAACACTGCGCATGCGCAAACGAAAATGATTGCGGTCAATTACCGCAAGCGGTCCAGGTGTTTTTTTTTTAACTACCGCTGATTGAACCTTTCGATAAGCGGGGCAGGATGGGGCCGTCGTACGAAAATCGTGCGACGGTTCGATGATCGGACGAAAAGTTTAGTCCGATGATCGTAAGGTGTATGGGCACCTTTAGGCCTCATTTTCCTGGCGATTGTTTACCGTTGGGAACACATGATTGCCCCTGGACACAAATAGTTGCTCCATGTGCAATTACATCTGAACACTAATTGATGGCTCTGGCTAAGCATCCACCTCTGAATCCGGCTACAGGATTCTTATCGCAGTTGGCATATTTTTGGCTTGTGAATGAGGCCTTAAAAGTACACTTTGTCTTCAGTACTAGTTTAGCATCCAAGCATTGCTGTGCATCAGTCCACCCCATCCTGTTTGTCAGTCATTTGGCTGTCTTTAAATGCACCTTGTTGTGATATTGGAACCTCCTCTTTGCTGCCATAATAAATAGATTACTGTAAATAAAGTATTTGCAGGTATAGTGAATTTTGTCACAGCCACTAATCAGATTCCATCCTTGTTTATGAGTAAAATACCTGCTTTGACGGGCTTTGGGGTTGCCTCAATGACATCTGTTTCACATCAATTTTAGGCACCTCCGAGATCATTCAGAATATGACAAGTACAATTCCCCTGCAGTTGTCCACTTCATGATCTGCATTTGAAATGCTTCATGCAGTTTGTGCATTACCATAAACAATTTGCTTGGGAGCATAAAGATTGGATTTTGGAGCAATGAAGACAGGTCATGTGGTCTGATTAGTTCAGATTTACTCTGTTTCAGAATGATGGGTGCATTAGGGTAAGAAGAGAGACAGATGAAGTGATGTACCCATCATGCATAGTGCCTACCGTACAAACTTGTGGGGGCAGTGTTATGATCTGGGGGTTGCTTCAGTTGGTCAGGCCTAGGTTCAGCAATGTTATGTGCCCAAAAAATTAAGTCAGCTGCCTACCCGAATATACCGGGTGACCAGGATATTCCATCAGTGAATTTTCCCTGATGGCATATTTCAAGATGACAACGCTAGGATTCATCGGACTCAGATTGTGAAAGAGTGGTACAGGGAGCATAAGACTGGTTCAGGGAGCATAAGACATCATTTTCACACATGGATTGGCCACCACAGTGTCCAGACCTTAACCCCACTGAGAATCTTTGGGATGTGCTGGAGAAGACTTTACACAGTGGTCCGACTCTCCCATCATCACTACAAGATATTGGTGAAGAATAAATGCAAGTCTGAATGGAAGTAAATGTTGTGGCATTGCATAAGCTTATCGAAATGATTCCATAGAGCAGGGGTGGGGAACCTCCGGCCCTCCAGCTGTGGTGAAATTACTAATAACGTGAGGCATTACAAGATTCTCACAGCCCAGATACATTATGGGATTTGTAGTTTCACCCCAGCTGGAGGCTGGAGAAAGCATGCTGTAATCAAAGCTAAAGGCGGTCCGATAAATATTAGAGTGTGTGGCTTTTTTTTGGGCCAGGCAGTGTATATATGTACAATACAAAACACAGACGTTTCCTTGCACACTTACTGGCTTGGCTGCAACAAAACAAATTACACTGTATAACAATATGCATTCAAAACAGAGGTTTAAGTTGCACAAATTTTTGCCAAATATATGGAAGCCACACTGCCTCACCAAGGCCCATCTGTGTGGTGTGCTCCTAACTCTAATTGTCGAGAGCCTCCATGTGTGTGTATATGTATATATTAGGGATGCACTGATACCGTTTTTTGGTATCGAGTACAAATATTCTGCTTTTGGTACTCGCCGATACTGAGTACCGATACCGGTGCTCCCACTGGCATGGAGCCAGCTTCCGGGGCAATCAGGAAGCCAGGCGGTGAGTAATGACACGCCGTCCAGCTCTACTGATTTCCCAGGAAGCCAGCTCCATGTTTGGCCGGCTTGATGCTGATTGGCCAGGAAACCTGCTTCCCAGCCAATCAGCATGGAACCTGCCTAACAGTCTGCTCAATGCTGATTGGCTGGGAAGCCGGCTTCCCGGCTAATTAGGAGGCCGGTCATTGCTCACCGGGAGGCTTCCTGATTGCCTGGGAAGCAGGCTCTATGTTCACCTGCGGCACTGCCGGTCAGAGGAAATCTTCCTCTGACCGGAGGTTCCGTTATTGGGGAAGGTATCGGAGCATTTGGGCAAGTACGAGTACTCGCCCAAATATTAGTTATCGGCACTGATACTAGCATCGGTGCACCCCTAGTGTGTGTGTGTATATGTATGTATGTATGTGTGTGTGTATGTGTATGTATATATATATATATATATATAAAGTTATGATGCGACTTTCACATTATGTGCTTTCTCTACCATCGTTTTGTCGTATTTGTACATATTCCATTAATTAGAGAACTTTGTATTGCTGTGTAATTATTCAGCCTCCTCACATAACAGCCTAGATATCAGCCACATAGGGAATGTGTTGTTTTTGTTGGATGGACACACCCATAGGCTTGCTAGCGGAGAATCTTGGCTGAAGTTGCCTGTTTAGCTGGGCCCTTTAATAAACTCTGTATCCCTCTCGATTTCTTAGCTCTGATAACACAGTATCCATTACGCTATAACATGCCGCACATTTTTGTTCTTCTAGTTTGACAGATGTAATTTTTATTCCGTTCAGTTTTTAACATCACTCCCGCAGAATACCCTTCAGGGATCTTAAACAGCCTGGAAGGAACATTTTTACAAATGAGCTATCTCATGCTGGCGCTAAGGACTGGCACTTCCTTTGCTTTACACTAATCTGCTCCCAGACTCTCTTTTGGGAATGATACATAGCAGCACAGCTTGCTATAGCGATGCCACAAGATGTGGCAAAGGGGCTCAGCTGATAGGCATGGTGAAGAAGGGCTTCAAGCTGCTAGATGCAGGCTCTCCTCTGAATAATGGAGCAGGTACACGTGCCGCTGCTTATAGCAACTGGTGAGATGATGTATTTCTTCACAAATGGTTTCGGAATGGTACAACTATTCTCTCACTGAACCCATTTAAAGAAAAGTCCCCAAATCAGAAAGTGCTTTACCTAAGTACACATTAAAGAATAACTCTAACTGTGCAGTCTCTGTTATTATTTGTTCTACCCAACGAAAAATCATTCATTTTCTATGTGTTGGAGTTTGTGAATTGTATTCACTGTGGAATTGTGTATGCGCACATACCAAAATTATGTGTAGATACCCATAAGTATAAGGAAAGAATGAATGTTTCCCTGTCAGCATAACTGATGCTTGAAAACCTTGTGTCGGCACAACAAAACAATCTCGGTTATCCAAATGTTTTGTCTTTTTTTGGCTCCACGTCTTAGCACATTTTTTTGAAAGAAAAACTCTGGTTTTAAAGTGGAACGTAAGGAAAACTGGGAAAGATGCAGTAAATTATCACTGAAATACATTGAAGGGGATTTATCAAAACGGGAGCCGCTGTGCATGGCAACCAATCAGCTTCTCTTTCATTTTCAAATCTTAACTGAACAAACTGAAGAGAGAAGCTGATTGGTTGCCATGCACAGCTGCTCCAGATTTTGTCTGCTCCAGTTTTGATAAATTCCCCCCATAATATCTTATTATTATTTTATTTGTATTATTCAGTCATCCTTGTGATTCACATACCTCGGACACACTGTGCATCCAGGAAGATTACTGCTTTCTGGTTCAGCGTTACTGCTTTCTGCTGATTGGACAGATGGCATTAACGCCGTTTTCAATGTGCATTGAGCAAGCTGGATGAGAGAGGTGACATAGGAAGAGGATTTGCTAAACCAGGAAGGAAATGTTTTACCTGTCTGACTGCAGTGTGGCAGATGAGTGTAAAGTACTAGACTAGCTGTACAGAATCCTTATATAAAGCAGTTCCCATATATGAATTTATACGGTTTATTTAGTTTGCTGTGAATGTAACTTTTTAGCCAAAGTAGGTGGTTTGTATTAAAGAAAACTAGTGTAGAGTTGTGATGAAATCATTATGTTCTAATGTGAAGCAGTCATTTTAAAGGGGGCCTAGTAGAATAGAAATGTGGCGGCTGCCATTATCAAGGACCATCATCCTCACGCTTGCTTCTCAGTTACTAACTTGGAACAAGTATGCCGTTATGCAGGCTTTACTCGCTGCATGTTTGTTCTATATCCATGACTCCCCAAGTAGGGAAGCAATGTTGAGGATGACGACACCAGAACTTTCAATTTCAGGTCCAAATCAGCATTGGTAGCTCCCGAATTTCTATTCTGACAGGTGCCCTTTAAATCACATGCTGCTCTATTCAGCAGTATTGCTTAGTTCTAAGTGCACATGAATCTATCCTTATTGTGCCTCAGGGTCGCTTATGGGACCAATCGATTAATTTTTCTATTTTTCTTCCTTTCTAGTTAGTATTATGCACCGAAAAATTGAGACACGAAAAGATGGCTCTGAGGTGAGTGATGGCAAAGTTATTTGGGTGTGGTTGGCCAATTACAGTAAACTAAGCACCAGTGTAATACACTGGGCACACATGGGTGTCCAGTGCACATTATGGTCCTTTAGGTGCATTTCAACATGTACCTGCTGCCTGTGAAGAGAGAAGCAGGTTAAACTTTACTACTTCATGTTATGGTTTATTTTAGAGGTCATTCCCATTGGCATGCAGTGCTGAATTACAAATGTATATTAGCCCTTCAATCCTGTCCTCTTTTATAAGGCTTGAAAATCTCCTGTCCATTCAGGTTTTGTCCATTTTGGTAGCAGGTTCTGAATTTTCTCCGGACAATCAGCTGCAATGACAGATTTATTTTATAGCACCACCTCCTGGTGAAATGTGATACTGCAGCACGAGGGTAAAACACGTCGGTATGGGAGTCAGTGTATTGCTGCTGTTGGTTGCTGGAGAGTTGTGGGGGGTGTGAAACCTTGCTATTCAGGGGTTATTTTTGCATTTCTTAAACAAGAATTAACACAATGTGTGCGGACACATTTTTCCTGCATTGCGTATAAGACGTATAATACATGAATATTGATTCTTAAGAAAAAGTATGCTAGCTCACCTTTATTTGGGTACAAGTGACGTGCAAATGCCTTGCTTTCACTTTGAGCCCCCTATCTAAATCCATGCAACTCGTCATCCAGTTAGATTTTCCCATTTTACATTTGATATACAGGGTAGTCTGGTTTCTACGGGTAGACCAGGCAGTTGATCTTTCAGATGAGACCTTTTGCATCTTCCAATCATCCATGCTTAAAGGGAATGTATTGTGCTTTCTTACATGCTTTCGTTAGGAAAAGTTTAGTTGTCACCAGAACAGGAATGGGGTGTTAATCTTCCAATTACATCTGTAACAGTAAAGGGGATTGCATTGGAGGGACTTTCTGTCACTTCCTGTTCGGTCTACAGGACAAGAAGTGAAGGGAAAACTCTCTAATGGGTCACATGGCAAAAAAATATATAAAACCCTGTCTATACAATATCCGCACCAAAAAAAATTACTATACATGTAATTTATTTGTTTTTTAGCCAGCTTGGGGGGCAATTCTCATGTTTTGTGCTAATGAGCTCTCTGCAGAAGTTATATGCCCATACTAAACTGACCTATCCCAGACTTCCTCCATTGTGTCCCTGTGGGTACTAGCAGGTGTATGCCTTAAAGCATACTGAGGTTAGCTGTAGGGTTGCACAGATACCAAGTACAGTACTCGGCACAAGTACGAGTACATGTACCGATACTTTTGAGCCCCAAGACTAGACTAGAGGAAAATTCAAAAGTTAGGAGGCAGCTGTCATTTATAAGGAGCACACGGAGCTCCTGGGATTTGTACATCTCTGTTTTAATGTACGATTTTGTTTTTATAAATATAAATAAAGGGATGCACAGATACCAGTTTTGCGAGTATGAGTACTGGTACTTGCCGAGTACTTACAAGTATGAGTACTGATACATTTTTGTTTATTGTCATGTGACAGTTTTTCTAACACAATACAGACTAATGATTTCAGGGCAGTGGTGGAGTGCCAGAGCCAGGTCCCAGCTGCAACCCTGATAGTTCTCATGAAAATGCCAAGTATCTGCACTGGTACTCGAAAAGTATCTGTGCATCCCTAGTTAGCTGCATTTCCCAAGCCCTGGGCAAAGCTCAGAGCCAAATATAACAAAAGAGTTGTGTGCATAAACAATGGCAATCATCATCTTTTAAGAGTTTCAGATGTCTTCCAGGACTTGTAGGCTCACCAATTACTGTAATAATTTCAATTTACAGGACATCAAACCTGTCATCGATGGATTGGATGGTATTAAAATCTCCCAGGGTCTGGGCCTGCAGGACTTCGACCTCATCCGGGTAATCGGAAGAGGAAGCTACGCCAAAGTCCTTTTGGTGCGATTAAAAAAGAACGACCAGGTGTATGCCATGAAGGTGGTGAAAAAGGAGCTGGTGCATGACGAAGAGGTTTGTAGACGCCTGACAGCTTGTTGTTTCACTCTCACCCAGCAAAGAAAAAAATATGCTGAGCTCTGACACCCTCCATGGCTCTGGCTCAGGCTTTTCTGCACAGTCAGCAGGATGCTGAATCTCTGAATGGTCCGGTTAGGATTTTGGCATGTTTGTCCTACTACAAGTGAGGTTATGTTTACTCTGCTAAGCTGGAAGCAGAGCTAATGAGGTAAAATTGGTGGTAAAGTAGTTGATGTAATAATCAGTGACTGATCTGTAGAATCTACATTACACCGGACTGGAAATCCTGTTGTGGCCTCTCCCGGACAGATAATGCAGTGTCTTTTAACTGCTGTTATTAATTATAGCAATAAATCTCTTTTCCCTTTACGGTATCGCCTCACTTCCAGTAGCCAGTTCTTTCATACTCTTGCCGATCATTTATCAGTAGCCAGTGCTTTTATATTCTTGTCGGTCATTTATCTTCTTGTCCTACACTTACTTACTCCTTACAGTCCAATACTAGACAGAATTGTGTTGTTCAAACATATTGCAGCTCTAGATTTTTTTTGTCTAAATTGATCATTTCATTTTGTCTGGTTATAGACATGTAGATTGGGTCATTCAGTCTGTACTGATTTGGCTACCTACAATCATAGCCAAGTATGATCCTCGCACATACAAACCTCGAACATACAAGGAGCATCTACACTTACCATTGCTGCTTTTTTGTGACTGTGTCTTCCATGTAGCTACCAACCTTTACAGGGGAGCTCTTGTTTTTATCCTTTCTTTTTAATTTATTTTTTAAATAATTTTTATTCCAAGGTTTTATTTTATAAACTTGATACCCAAGCAATGCGTAGTACAGTGGTACCTTGGTTCACGAACAGGAAGTTTGGCAAAATGTTGCCTCTGTTCGGGAACTCTGCATCGGGTAACTAACACGACCGCGGCCATTTTCCCCACTTTGACACTGGTCGTGGCTTCCTATAGTCGAGATCGAGGTCGCAGAGAGAGCTGTGCACACTTGCTGTGAACCTTTTTTTGTGTGCTTTTTAGCACATCCAGTACTGTACAGTATTATTCAATCCAGCATGGCTCCAAAGAAAGTGCAGAGCAAGCATGGTGGTAAAAAGAACGTGCAGAGCGTTAATGAAGGTGACAAGAACGTTAGTGTTCACTCTCTTCATACTGTACTGTACTGTTTCATATTTTTATGGTTAAATTCTTTTTTTTACATGTGGTTCAGAACGGATTAACCTTATTTACATTGAACCCTATGGGAAAATTTGATTCTGTTCGCGACCAAAATCCATTTGCGACCACATTCGTAGGGGTCAGAACAGATTAACCTTATTTACATTGAACCTTATGGGGAAATTTGATTCGGGTCGTGACCAGAATCGTGGAACCAATTAAGTTTGTGCACCGAGGTACCACTGTAAATCTATCACAATCAACAATTGTCAGGTATTTTTTTTTAATGTTAAGTAATGAAGACAAAATCTTTCTTGTGTATATAAATCTGCAATAATAAAAAAGGCCACTCCCAGAATGATTTTTATTTATAAATGGAGTCTTGTGGGCTTAGCCAGCCTCTGGCTCCTTACATCCGTAGTAGTTCCCAGCTCTTTTACTACCCAGTAGTCTCATTCCCTTTGCTATAACAGAAATGTTTCCAGCACTCCGCTCTACTCTTGTACACTTCCCTGTAATATAAAATGAGTGAATGGTGCAGAGGAGAGGGACACTTTCTATTGCTGCAGTCAGTAAGCAGAGCTGGGACCTTAAATGAGACATAAATTGCTGTGGATGGGCTTACATTCTAAGCAGTATGTGGCAGCCATTGGCCTGTTGCAGTTTCTATGCATAGCCTTAAAAGAGAACTATGGGGGAAGTGTTTTCCCCCATAGTTCTCTTAATTGTCATGGGAGGACATATACTAGCGTCCTCCCATGACCCAAAGCTCAGTATATAGCTACAGCTCGCGGTATACTGAGACCGCCACAGCCGGGACAGATCCCGACATTACTGTCGAGATCCACGCAGCTGCGTGAGTGACAGCGGGCTGTCAGAGGCCGCTGTGCCTGCCCCCTACCCCGTCCGTTTCTCCAATCAGCGCTGGAGGATCGGACCGGGAGGGGGGGGGGTGGAATCCGTGCAGGGAGCCATGAATGACAGTCACGACTTTCTGCAGGGAGATGATCTAGAAGTGAGCGAGCGACGGTATGTGTTCGCTCACTAACAGATCTATAGAGCCGACCTGTGACAGTTTCATTGTCGCACGTCGGCTCGAACTATGAGGATGAGTGATTTTCACTCACCTCATAGTTCTCCTTTTAAGTTACTATTCACACTCTGGCGCGCGTTTACGCAATGCGTTAAAACATGCAACATGTTTGTGGTGCCGTTACTTGGTACCCCAAACACGGCCAGGAAAAAAAACGAGGCAGCTGAAAGTACTGCATGAGCTACTTTTCTGCACTTGTCGTTTGTGCGCAGCCTATTGATTGAATGGGCTCACTGTGGGAAAAACACATGCAAACGTGCACAAACTCAAGTTCGTGCTACGTGTAGTGTGAACCAGGCCTAAAGAAAACCTCTAACAAGAGAAACATGGAGCCTGTCATTGCGGAGTAGTTATTCTGAAAATATGAGTTAGCTGACTAGTATTTGACATTTTGAGTCACTAGAACTACGAGTCAGATAAGGACATTTTACTTCCTTAATCCGAATTCTCATTCTGGGTCAGTGACTCTCTAGGATCAGCCATGTAACTAGCATTTTTATACGTAGGTCAGCTATCCCCAGTTTCTGTATACACTGTGGTTTGTGTAGGTCCACTCATGTAAAAATAACTGATATAAAAGATCCAGACAGCAAGGCAGACAAAGGGCCGGCTGTCAGTCTCTGTATCCACATCTCCTATCTACAGGCTGATGGGAAGAATACTTCTAAATATTGCTGGTGTGTGACAAATGGGCTTGCTGTGCTCTGTGAATTATTAATTGATGGCCACTCCATGGCTAACTGGTCACGTTATTCTAATTGCCTCCCTCTTTTTAGGATATCGACTGGGTGCAGACAGAGAAGCACGTGTTTGAGCAGGCTTCTAATAATCCATTTCTAGTCGGTTTACACTCCTGCTTCCAGACGCCAAGCCGGTAAGAGCATCTATTATTCATCTGCTGGGAAAGTGGCGTATTATCTGCTCATCGCATAAGACTTCTTCCTCTCAACACTCTGAAAATCAAGTTTGTGTGCTTGAATACACCCCCCCCCCTCCCCACCCCCCCAAAAAAAGGAAACAAGCAGTGTTAATTCAGCTCGACAGCTTACACTGTTCTCATAGCAATGTAATACCGAGCCCATCTAAAACTGATATTTTTATTTTGTTTGCTTGTTGGAAAGCCAAAGGGAACCTGTCAGGAGGGAAACATGGGAGCTGCCATTGCTGACTTGTTTGTGCTTTTACAAGCTGCAAGGTTGTTATTCTCATCTTTGCTCATCTGCTTGTTGAGTCACGGACCTGGACCTTGTTTGTAGGTATGTAATTCAGCATTGCAGGCTGCCTACTAGTTTTGGGTCAGCAGCTTACTGAGTAGTAAACCAGGATAAGGGTGACATCCTCGGGGGCTTAACTTTTCCAGCATTGGCAGCTGTCTGCCCGAGTTCCCAGCAGTACATAAGCCAGCGCTAAACTTTTAGAAGCTTGGTCTTGTTTTTAGTGCTGTCTGCATAACTCTTGGGGTGACTTTACTTCCTGTCCTGATAACAGTAGTGACTGTGTCACAAAATAAGAGGAAATCTACTTAAATAGTTAAAGAGGAAACCCACCCTATTATAAAAATCACTACAAAGACACCTTTTAGTAATGACAATCTACAAGCAGATACTTCTAGATAATTGCCAGCTTTTTATTTTTAGTAGGGATCCACTGATACTGATACTAGTATCTGTGCTGATACAGAGTATACTCGTACTCCTTTAAATGCTCCGATACCTTCCCCGATACCGGAAATTTTGGTCAGAGGAAGATTTCCTCTGACCGGCAGTGTTGTAGGGGAACATGGAGCCAGCTTACCGTGCAATCAGGAAGCTCAATGCTGATTGTGATTGGCCGGGAAACCGGCTTCCCAGCCAATCAAGCCCGCCAAACAACATGGAGCCGGCTTTCCGGGCAATCAGGAAGCCGGACGGCATGTAATTACCCACCGCCCGGCTTCCTGATTGCCCGGAAAGCCGGCTCTATGTCAGCAGAAGCATCGGTATTCTGTATCAGCGAGTACCGAAAGCAAAGCATCGGTACTTGTTCTCAATACCGATGCTTTGTCAGTATCGGTGCATCCCTAATTTTTAGCATAGCTCCTTTTTTTCTTTTCCTTCCCATTCTCGTGGTGGCCATTTTTACTAAGGTCATATGAATCCATCTCCCTTTACTTCCCGGAACTCTAGCTCTGCCTCCTAGAACATGTGACATAATTTGAGGGGGAGGAAAAATGCATTTACCCCCGAGATCTCACAAGATTTTGCAGTTTACAGAGGAGATTTCCCAGGAAGACATTGGTAAAGTAGCCTTTCCAGGATGCATCCGTATAGCCAGGGCTACATGACAAGTGCCTCACTCAACCAGGTAGTGGGAAAAAAGTAACTGTAAATAAAAGAAAAAAAATGTTTGGTGAATGTGAGGTGATTTCATATGGACTTGCAGAGCTGCACGCTGATGTGATTTCTAGTTAAAGGGCGTGAAAACCTTTGCTCTAAAACCTGTTGGAGGTTCTGACACTAATCCTCTCCATCCAAAACAGACTGCTTTGCTTGGAGTTCCACTTTACCAGAGACTAAATCAATATCCTAATAATTATCTGCTCAGTTTTGTTCTTTTTCTTTAACGTTCCCACTGTTTATCAGAATGATTTCTTTGCATTTAAACCTTTCAGTGTGTCCTACATAATCTGGTTGTTTTAAATGAAGGGCACCTATAGGTGGTGCATCTCTAGGAGCTTCCAGGCCCAGAATTGCCCATTCCTCTCCGCTTAGACAGTGTATACTGACAGTAGGTTAACTCTAAGGGCTACAGTCTCACAGGTTTAGATTTCCTCTCACAGGTTTTTTAGCTTGACTCCACTACAATGGGGTAGACGAGTGTACTAAAAAAAAAATACCTTTCTGCCCAAAGCAGCCGTTGTTTTAATTTCAATACTGCACCACAGAAATAACAGTTGAGAAATTACTGAGGGCAGCACGAGATTTTCTTTGTTGGTGCACTTTGCACTCGCAGTCCCTTTTGTCTCTTTATGGAGCATGAGTGATACTGCAGTGGACCCTCAGAAGCTTGATGTGGTAAAATAAGGTGAGAGTGGAGGTTTATGAGTCACATTTATCAAAGTGGCAAGTTGTAAAGTTCTTAGCGGAGACAAAGACCATCTATAGGGAACATCAGTGCACCAGAAATCAGAGGCAGCAAAATAAAATGTACGTGTTAGCAGAACTTCAGCTCAAACAGCAGTGCTGTTCATTCTGAATATCTGCAGGTGTACCCACTGCTGCGTAGACTAGCTGTGCTGCAGAGAATCGGACATGGAATTACATTTTGAACCTTGTTTGCTGGGGGCAGTATAATTCAGGGGCTGGCTGTACAATGACCGTACAATTTTCGTATGAACATTGGATAACGCCATCAGAGACTCGAAAGTTTTTAAAAATTCTATTTCATTTTAACATAGTTACATAGCTAGTCAGGTTCAAAATAGACAAGGAGTTCAACCCATAGATTTTGGCCTTTTCACTTTGGATGCCCTTGTCCCAGCACTGCACTATCTAGATTTTAATTAGTTTATAGCCAGTCAAATATTTTTTCAGGTTTGTATAAAGAAGGGAAGGATTATAAATTCTAGGGATGCACCGATACCCATACTAGTATTGGTGCCAATGCCGAGTATTTGGTTGAATACTCGCCCAAATGCTAGATGCCTAGCCCAATACTTGAGATTCAGGTATCGGGAAGCCAGGCAGCGAGTCATGACACTCTGCCTGGCTTCCTGATTGGCCGGGAAGCTGTCTCCATGCTCCCTTCCTTCCCGATTGGAGCCAGCTTCCTGGCCAATCAGGAACCTGGGCAGCGTGTCATTATACACCCCCGGCTTTCTGATTGGCCACGGAGCCAGCTTCCCGGCAAATCAGGAAGGTGGGCTCAGTGTTATGACGCGTTGCCCGGCTTCCTGATTGGCCAGCTTCGCAAACAATCAGGAAGTCGGGCAACGCGCCATTACACGGAGACCGCCTTCGTGATTGGCCAGAAAGCCAGCTCCATGCTTCCTCGTCACCTGGTCACAAGAGAGCATGGAGACAGCTTACCTGCTGATCGGGAAGGCGAGTCTTTACAACCCGCCTGGCTTCTCTGCAAATCCCTAATAATTTCCATTGCTTTTTTTTTTTTTTACTGGTATCCAAGGCTGACTTTTTTTCCCCTGGGCTTCCAGTCCTGCTGACAGTGTTTTACCAGACCGGAAGTGTGGGGGAATCTCCATCAGCAACACAGGCAGAAATCAAAACCCTATAGCAGAGTAGGGGAAATATTGTTTTTCTTTTTGTCCCTTTTGCAGATTTTCCCTTATTTCGTGTTTTGGCACCAGACAACAAGTGAGGGAAAATCTCTCTAAGGGAGTCCCAGATAGCAGTAACTATCTGACGGGTGTTCTAGAACTGCCTTACCTTCTGGGTACACATACACTTTAAAGAATTAGTGCACATTCATAGCAAAACCTGTATTCCCTCTCATTCATGCACTTCATCAAGTTTGGAAATACAACTACAGTCAAAGCAAAGTTTACAGTGCCCTGCCCACCCAGAACCGCTTATGTCCTGCGATACCTTCTATATGCATTGATTGTGATGAATGTTTCTGGTTTTTCCCTTGGCTCACATGCTTGGTTTTGTTTGTATACTTCTGTAGGGCACATAAAACGTTAACAGTTTTTTCTCTTTTCTGCGTTTAGGTTATTTTTGGTAATAGAATATGTCAATGGAGGTGACCTCATGTTTCATATGCAAAGACAAAGAAAACTTCCTGAAGAACACGCCAGGTATGGCTTCCTCTTGTGGTGTGTGAGTGGGATGAAGTGACAGTTCAGGGTGTGTGTATGTTAAAGTACAACTAAAAGCTCCTGTATGACAATCTAAACACATACCAAATCCAATTACAATGTGATGCCAAATCCTCCTTCTTTTGTCTCTCACACACTCTCCCTCCCAAAAACTGCAGCTTATAGTGGGAGGGTTTTAGCAACAGAGGCAGAGCTGTCATCCAGAAAGCAGTGGGCAGGAGTAGGTGTAGCCAGCTGGTGACTGACAAGCTACAGGCTTGTGAATCAGCAGTGACCATGCTGATAGCCACTCCCCCTGTAACATTTTTCCATCCCACTGTAATGAAAGTAGGCACAGCCTACATTAGAGTGACAACTCTGCTCTGAATTCAGGAGCAGAGCAGCCGCACCATCACAGGAAGCTACATTAGGTGGACATCACTGGCGGGATCTAGGGATGTCCCGATGCCACTTTTTTAAGACCAAGTACAAGTACTTTCCCTCAGGTACTTGCCTATACCAATACTTTTTCCTAAAGGTCCCCAGGGCTAAATACATGTCCCCAGATCAGAATACATGTCAGCAGAGCAGAATACATGTCAGCAGAGCAGAATACATGTCCGCAGAGCAGAATACATGTCCGCAGAGCAGAATACATGTCCGCAGAGCAGAATACATGTCCCGAAGAAGAATTATTAATCTCGCCAGGCTTGGTGCCGATCTCACACGGGCGTCATGTGGATCTTTGCGGGCAGTGCCTATGCTGTAGAGGGTGCCAGTGTCCAGGGCTGTACTGTGCTGTGCGGGGCTGTCCTGAGCACTCTACAGTCTTATGTCCAACAATATTATCAAAATGTGCGTTATGGAGAAGAGGGTGGAGGTGTTTTGTAATCCTAACACTTCCTGTCCTGAGGTGATAAAGTGGTTCTTCCATAGATACAGTACAGTAAGTGAGCGTTGTCACACAAGAACAGGAAGTGTGTTAGTGGCATGATCACCCAGTGAAAATAAAGGGGAACAGAAGCTTAAAAAATAAATCTAATGCGGCCACCACATCCAATGACTGGTAAGCTGAAGAATTTTAGATTTCTATCAGTTTAGATACACTTTGCCTGTTATAGGTATCTACCATTCCAACCCTCCAGATGCAGCTGCTGAGAGAATATATTGCCACGAACAGTCACATTTCTTAGGAAGTTTAATAGCCGATCACTCTTGGCAAACACGTCAACAACGGACCCATCTGTATGATGGAGCCTTACTCCTCTGTGGGAATATATGTCCACTGCCGGGCTCGCCTTTTCCGTATTCGTCTCAGCACAATGAATGTCTTTTCCCTAAAAAAACAGCTAGTCACAGATGTCTCCATTTCCTCTAGGTTTTATGCTGCTGAAATCTGTATTGCTCTAAATTTCTTACATGAACGGGGAATCATCTACAGAGACCTGAAGCTGGACAATGTTCTGCTGGATGCAGAGGGTCACATCAAACTGACAGATTATGGCATGTGTAAGGTACGAGCCCGGACTTTGTTACTTCACTTTATTTCATGCTTTATTACCCTCTCCATATTTGTTTCTGGGATTCATTCTGTAGAAGGAGCTGTCTTTGTTATCCATATCAGCCAGTCTATTTTGTTACATTCATATTTCAGGTACCATTTCTATGACTGGTAGAGGAGATTAAAGTATCCGATAGCTAGGGCTAGAAGAACAATTTGTTTTCTTGGATGTCTGAATGTACAAGACTGTCTATTCTCGGATGTCCCCAAATCTTTACTGAAATTAATGTGAAACTTTTTGTGCTGCATATGATGGGAAAAAAAAACAAAGCAGAGTTTTCCTTAAGGGTTAGTTCACACCAAGCGCAGAGCAGTTACAGAACGGATCAAATCTGCGTCCAATGTATTCCAATGGTATTTTGGGCTCTAGTTCACACCAGAGCGTTCAGTTCCAGAGCATGTAGAAAAACTGCAGCATGCTCTATTTTTTCTGCTCTGGAACGCACCAAAGCGCATGCAAACGCCATGGAACGCACTGAAAGCCCATTTTAGGCTAAAGAAAAAAAAAATTGTTTTTTTTTTTTAACAGAAACGGCCCAGAACGCAACAAAAACACGGCAAAACACACTGCACTGCGTGTGCAGAAACTCATGCAGATCTGGGCTGCATTTGGTGTGAACAAGCCTTCAATGAAAATCAAGTCAAAACAACTGGTATATCCAGACACGTAAACACCTAAAGTGTTATGCAAATCCCAACTTTCTACTGTAGAAGTTATGCTTGGCTACACTTCCTGAGGCTAGGTTCACACCTAGGCGACTCGTGCACGATTGCCGCACGGTCGGGAGTCGCCAAGGTGTGAACCGATCGAGCTATAGGTGCCATTATTTTCTAATGGCACCCCAGTCGCTCTGTGTGGATTGTGCAGTTTCCCGCCGCGATTACACCCGTGCAAGTGAACACGGTCGCGGCTAAAAAAAAAGCCACGCGTCATGTGTCGCAAAAAACCTTTTTTTCTTTTAGCGATTGCCACGCAGATGTCACTCTATTGAAATCAATGGTGCCACGCGGCAATCGCTGTGTGCACTAGCACACGATCGCGCGGCCCAAGTGTCGTGCAGGTGTGAACCTAGCCTGAGACTCCCTATTGGTCATTGAGGCTGCCAATCACTTTAAAGAGCTGACGGGGAGGATTGAGAGGCTCAAGCTTTTACAGGAACAGTCAAGATATGGATATAAATCCAGGTTTATCATAAATCGTAGAGCTACTGATTACTTTGATGTGCAGTTTTCAATGATGGTAACCTGTGCTTGTGCATCGTTTCATCATGTGCTTTGTCTGAACCACCCTAGGCTGTGACAGGCGTGTTTTAATGGGATGAGTAGAGAATAGAGATACATGATGATGGGCATAAAAATATTTAAGGTGTGTCAGTTACCAGCTGATATAATCCATGCTGTGAACTGTTGGGGCATTAATATATATATATATATATATCTATGACACTTTCTGTATATTACAGGAGGGTCTGGGGCCAGGGGACACAACTAGCACTTTCTGTGGAACGCCAAATTACATTGCTCCTGAAATTCTCCGTGGAGAAGAGTATGGTGAGTAAGGAGCGTGATCTGGTTGTGATCTTGTGTAATCCAGTCTGTCTATCATTTGATTCCAAGCTAAAGTGATTGACAGTCTATTATTCTTAAATACTATTCCTATTGAGAATCCATTAAACAGCATTGTACACAAAGATAACGTAGCGTGTATACTCTACTGAATTCTCCATAGGAATACATAGAGAACATACAAGCCCATGGTGCACATAGCAGAGTTTGTCACAGTTGTGATGTGGGACAGGTCTACTGGGGTCAATAAAACAGAAAAGATCGGACTGGGATTAAAGCCTTTTCCACTTCACCCAATAAGAGGTTGCAGGGCAGAAAAATATTGGATATCATGATGGAACATACCATATCTCAAAGTAAACATTTTGAGTGGAATTTAAATCAAAGTGTATTTAAAACCATTTTCTTTCATATCGAATAAAGTAGATAATTATTCTTGCCTCTGTCCCCCCTGGAGAGTTTCCACCCTTCTATTTGTCCTGGTGACTATTAACACTAGAACAGTAAGTGAGGGGAAATCCAAATTTTGAGTTGTCACCAGAACAGAAGTAAAAGAGAAATATTCCAATGGGGACACTTGCTCCAGTGAAAACTATCTTAGATTGCGTTCATTTGCTTTGGAGAGATCTCTGTTCTGTCTGGGAGACAGGAAGTAAAGGAACCTCTCCCCAGTGGTTTACAGACACCAAAATACACTTGACATGGGGTATTAATCATTCACTATTCTATTTAAACCCCCAAAATGTTTAGCTTTAGATATGCATAAAGTATGCACTCAAGGAGCTTACAGAAGAAGATAAATATATAGGCTAAATATTTAGGCTGCTGTTGCTGACCTGTACATCTGGAAGTATCTGCTTGGCATTCAGTCTTATCCTGGACAAAAAAGGGCATCTTAAATGTATCTGGTTACACAGGCCATAAATGGGGCTTTTAGGCCAACAAATTAGACCTCCTTAGTAAAATCACACATTTGTTACATTAAAATTACAATAAAATCACCACATAAGAATTAAAATCAACATTGCTGTTCATAGTTCACGTATTGTACGCAGGGTCAAGTTGATATATCACAACATTGAAAATCCATAGATCTGGACGACAAATTGTGCAGCCCTTTATGACAAATATTTTGTCTGTTGCAAGAATCCTCAATGCATTTTGCCAAAAAAGGAGGACAAGAGCAGTGAATATTTTTTATAGCTCAACCATGAGTCGACACAACAGGGAACCTTGGACAAAGAGTCCCCCGCAGGAGGGGGCAACAGATACAGGAGTCAATGCATATAAACATGAGCTGTGATCTGATATAGATTCCTCCTCCGAGCGTTCGGGCTGCAGTCACCCTCAAGACAAATGTCAGGCAAAATTAACTAAATAATTTCTTTATTACTTTTATATTTATTTATTTTTTCTTTACTGTTGGGGGCTTTGGTGCAATATCAGAGGTCTAAACACACCCCTGCTATTTCCCCTTTTTAAAATAGAAAAAGAGATTGAGGACACAGAGTCCTCCATCTCTTTTTCTGTAGCCCCTGTTATAAATGAACAGAGAACCTCTATACTGAGTGCGCCTGTCCATTCATAAACTGTGGAGATAGCATCAGTTACTATGTCCACAATCACGAATGAACAGGAAGTGATGTATAGCATTTCCTGTTCATTCATAACTGGGGACACAGTAAGCATACGATGTCCTCAGTTATTTACAAACACTTCGCTATCAGTTCTGATCGATGAGTATTTGTACTCCGCTCTCAATCCTGACTCGCCTGTCACAGGAGGCCGAGCGGGGCGGTGAGGAGAGCTCGGCCTACTGTGACAGCTATCTCCTCCTCGCATCACCCCATTTGGTCTCCTGACAGTTTCTCTTCTCTTCTCAGGGCGCCTGTCTGTGTCCCCTCTGATCTGCCGACACAGGTGGGGAAAAGCAGCAGGAATCAGAGGGGACACAGACCAGCAGCCAGTGGGGAAGAGAGAAACTAGGGATGCACTGAATTTTTTCCCGCATTTTCTGCCGTTTTGGCACTTTGCCCATATTACCATTTTTGGACAAAATGTTTCAGTGGCTGAAATTTAGGTGCATCCCTAATTTTCAGAATTAGGCTAGCAGTTGCAGTCTAAATTCTTCTGTTTGTACTGTTTTCTTTTAATATTGCTAAGCATTCAAGACTTGGGAAGAATCTGCACAATGATTGACCCTTGGCTCTATACTATCCATATAAAAATGTTCCTCCTTTTCTTGTAATGAGGGTTATAAAAAGGCACTAAAATATTCATAAGTGGCAGAATCAAATACAGAGCCTTTCCTGTCCTCCTCCTTCACAGTATTATATTTACTACCAAATGATTACATGCTGTCTTGATTTCAGCATTCTCCATATTCTTTCATCAAACACGGTTCTCATTTCTGCGTTGCAGGCTTCAGTGTGGACTGGTGGGCTCTCGGGGTCCTCATGTTTGAGATGATGGCCGGTAGATCCCCATTTGATATCATTACAGACAATCCAGACATGAACACTGAAGATTATCTTTTTCAAGGTTTGTATAGATCGTGTGACTGTTTATATTGCTGACATTAGAGATGCACAACTGGCTTATGTGTAACCTGACTTACTATTCAAAAATGCTATTGATGTTTTTTTAAAGAGCTGCTACACCATGTTTATTATGGGTGTCAAAGTACACCTGTCTCTGAACACATAACTAAAGGCACCTTAAAGTGTCAAAATGTGTTTTTAGCAGTGGTAGCCTTAGAAGCCCACATGGC